GTGCCCCTTAACGGTTTGTCATAATATTGTTCCAGAAGTGAATTGCAATTTTATGATTACTAACATAATTCCATTTCCATTCATTTCATCCTAAGACGATTTAATATTTTGCAATTCCCGTCAGGGACGAAAACAAATCGTTTTCCACCACCGATGATTCACCACTTTGCAAAACGTAAAGTGATACATTACGAGAGCATATCTGAAATGTATACTTTGCGAGTTTGGTAAGTGCACGCGATCTGTTTATTTTTTAAAGTAGTTCCAGTTTAAAAAAATGGTCCCCGTGGGGTTTCCAGATCGTCACTGACGAAAGTCAAATTCGACAACAGAAAATAGGGTTACTTACATTGTCACGTTGTCGTTACACGCAGAAACTAAGTGAACATTTTCTTCCCTGAACGCAACGAACTTTAAACCACGATACACCGGCGTCGCGACGCAAACTGGCGCATTTCAAAGGGGGCGCGTCGCCACAACAACCCCCATCCGAGCGCAAGCGCCCCTCGAATATCAATAATAGGATGGCCAAATAAAGTGCTGAGTAGCCTTGCTTATTAGAAACTATTGCTTTATTGGATTTTTAGAGCAAATTTGTTTTAGTCTCGCGAAGCTCCATTAGCGAAACGCCCGTTCGTCAAATTAACTTTTCGCACCATTTGTTTCGTTTTTGCCATTTTGGAAATTGCCAAAAACTTTCTCCTTTATTAACATGTACGTAAAAGTAACAGGTGTGCATTGAGGACTATAATAGCGGGATTAACGCAGATGACTTACAAGAGCCGGTACCATATGGGAGACTGGCGCGGATGTACCTGTCACGGGGGTTCCGAATTTAATTACGCCATTTTTATTAGCGTCGTTAATGAAAGCTGCCCAAAAAACAGTTGTGCCCAATTTTACATGCTCAAATAAATGGTGGACCGTTTGAAATGACATCTGCAACGACATTATTTTGTTATGAATTTTTATCGGAAAATTGTAGGGGGTTGGCGCAGGTAATTATTCAAAATTTAAAACTCTATTGAAATCAATAAACAATTTTCTGTCTTCATATCGCAACGTAAATAGTCAAAACCAACTAAGAGTTTTACTTGTCGTACACGTAGGTCTAGTCTGTGTTGCAAACGCATTATGGGAATGTGTTGTCCGTCCGTACATAGACTTGTACGTCGAACACTTTGCCGTAAAATGATGCAGCTGTTTGTGTAAAGTGATGCTACAACAATTTTTAATACAAAATTGTTTGCTGAGATATCACCGAAAAACTGAAAATGTCCAATTTCGTTTTCATTTTCCCTAGCTTAAACGGTCGGAAATAAACGGTTCCCGTTAGCACCTTGAGATGTCTGATTTCAAACGACCAGTACCGTTGGCGGATATAGAGACACCGTTCGAAAGTATTTGCACGTGAAACAATGGGGATTACTGTTTAACAATATAATAAGTTTCGATGTCAACATTTTAAAACAATGTTAGTCTGTATAGGAAGGAAATGGTGTGTTGAATTAGCTTAGCCAAGTTCGCTTTTTAGCGGTTCATACAGATTCATTTTGTGTTTAAGGTGACTTTGCTTTCTGCATCCATTGAGTTAAGTTCAATTTGTTCTAGTTATTATTAATTTCCACTTGTTTGTTTAAACTCATTTGGATTAATTAGCGACTTCAATTATTTGTGTACGAATCTGCCTTTTTTTAGTGCAATTAACCTTTTCGCCCTTGCAGAGATAGATACCGAAGTGATAACATACTTAGCGGCACTCATCTCGAAATACAACTTTAGTCTAAGTAAGGTTACCATATCCAGGACCTTCAGATACATTCCGTATTGGAGGAGGTCGGGCTAATTAACGATATGTACTTTTTGCAAGAGACTTCGGAATGCTATCTTTCACAAATGGCAAAGGATTATGGGTGCTTTTACATCTACTTGAGCTGGCCTTTCTTTAGCTTATCAATCAGATTTAAATTATTCAAATTCAAGAGTTACCTCTTCGGATTGTTAATCTTTGTATATAGTAGATGTGATTTATGGCTCAGTGGTAAGAGCATTGGGTTATAAATCCGGAGGTCGGGTGTTCGAACCTGGGTTGAGGTGAATTTTTCATCTGTGGCGGAGATGGAAATTACCTTAGACCAGTTCCGAGCATTCTACCGGCTACTCCGAATTAGGTTTTCCTGCAGTTTTCCTAATTCGTAAGGTAACTACCGGAGTAGTATAGACCAACTTAAGACCTTCTGCAGAGGCACCTCTAAATAGCATTATGCGGGTCACTCTGTAATTGGGCGCATGCCTGTTGAGGGCCCAAAACAAGAGAGGGATAATAAAATAAAAATAAAATGTGTGTAGCGTACTCCACAGTTACCTCTCATGCTCCAAATTTTGCCTCTATATTTAACCTCTGTGAACAGTGATTCGGAATTTTCTTTAGCGCGGTTCATTTGTCCGATGGGTTTTAGGGGAGCACGGCATTCTTTTGGCTTTAACTGTATTCTGTCTCAATTTTTCGGCTTTTTGATTCATTTTACACTTTTCATCAATTATTCAATAAACTTTCTTTTACTTTTCAAATACAATAAATGTATTATTTGCTTTCCACCTTTCCAATAACAGATACGCTTGGGTACGAGTGATGCAACCTGGTTTTTTCACAACGTCCGGCCATTGTTGAGTGCGAGGTTTGTATTACTACGCTGGTGTTCCGAGTTTATGTTTTTCCCGATTTTGTGAGCGCGGGAGATGTCAGCTTAGGTACATCGCAACCTTCTAGGGGCACTATTTTCGGAGAATCTGAATCTGTTATCACCATTTTCATGGCACGCTAGATCTAGAAGCTGCAGAGTACTACTTTCTTATTTCTTATCGGCGCCATGTTTGATTCTTACGGAATGAGTGAGATAGAGGACAAAAAAGAAAAATAATAACGTGTTGACATAAATTTACAAGAAAAATTTCAAAATCAAATGTACATTCCATTGTCAACAATATCCATGGGTAGCTAGATGAACTTGCTGAATCAACACGGCTATGATGGCGACGCATTCAAATGAATTTCCTTTTTGTTTTCCATCTCATTCCTTAAAAATCCAATATGACGTCCATAAGAAATAAGCAAGTGGTAGGCTGTAGCCTGTACATCTAGCGTATTGTGGAAATTCTGATAACAAATTCATTCAAGTACCCATAGGAGATGCTAACGGGAACTGTCCATTTCCGAAATTCTCAGTTATTTCCAAAAAAATTTTAAAAATTTCAAATGCGTTTTTTGGTCACGAAAAGGGGACACTGTATCTCTCACCGTTACGGAAATTCTAACGGTGAGCCACGAATTTGAACCACCCTGTACAGGGTGCTCCTTAAAATCGCATGAGTCAGAACTTTGGTATTTAAAATTGAACTTACTTTGTATACTTAATACTTATAATATATATTAAGCTTAAACCGGATTTATGGCTCAGTGGTAGAGCATTGGGTTATAAATCCGGAGGTCGGGTGTTCGAACCTGGGTTGAGGTGAATTTTTCATCTGTGGCGGAGATGGGAATTACCTTAGACCAGTTCCGAGCATTCTACCGGCTACTCCGAATTAGGTTTTCCTGCAGTTTTCCTAATTCGTAAGGTAAATACCGGAGTAGTATAGACCAACTTAAGACCTTCTGCAGAGGCACCTCTAAAAAGCATTATGCGGGTCACTCTGTAATTGGGCGCATGCCTGTTGAGGGCCCAAAAACAAGAGAGGGATCAAATTAAAAAATTAAATTAAAAAATTTAAAAAAATGGCTGTTTACTCGAGCCAACAAACAGAAACATACTTACGTTATTTTATGTAATACCATTGACACTTACATTAGATTTTAGGATCCTTCGAAAAATTGTCAACTTTCTACAATACACAAATCCAAAAACTTGAAACAACTCATTTTTCGAAAAGGAAACCATTTTTTTTAATGGTCCCAGCGAACTTCGTACCGCTTTTGGGAAATCCCATTTTTTTCATTCCCTGTTCCCATTTTTCCCGTAAGACCTTCGGGAAGCCTCTTTTGGAGTAGACCTTAACCCATTCAAAGAAACCTACGTTCTAAACGTTTTTTTTTCGACGGTAAAACATAAAATCCTGTTTTTTCCAGTTCCCGTTCCCGTTGGAATTTCGGAAAGTGTTTCAGAAACCTTCGCAGACATACCGACGTCGATGGTTTGGACTTCTAGAACCGTAGCATATCTCGCTTTGGCACCATCTATTGCGATTTAAAATGAGGAAAAACGGAAAAAAATTGTTTTTTACGTCTTTCCGTACAATTTGTTGGAAATTATCTTTTATACAAACCTTGTCCTGATGATAATAAGAAATACAAAAAGATAGAATTATCTAATTTGATGCGGTCGTTCTGAACTGATGCTCGTACATACATTTCGGCGATCCACTTTTCCATTTTTATATTATACACTGTGTCCTAGATAAGGATGGATATCATGCTATTTCCCACCACCGTTACATTCTCTCCTCTTATTTGTTTACCCGTAGATTACTACGCTAGTGTTCCGAGGCTTGGGTACACCACAATATACAGGGTGTTTCGTGATGTTGTACATACGATAATATGTTCATTTTAAGCGATTAGCTCATCACGCTTGTTTACTTTTACATGATAAACATCGCTTATCACTTTATCAGCCATCCCCACATTCCGTAATCTAAGGGGTAAGGTCCGGTGACCGAGCTGACCAACTGATAGGACCCCTAGGACAAATCCACCGTTCCGCAATTTCCTCTATGCTTGATATCAGTTTAAGCATTAACTGGCTGTATCTCAGTTACCTTTGAGAATTGGGCACATGTTTTAAAAAACTTTTCTGCTTAAAATGAACAAATCAAACTCTCAAACACTCTGTGTATTCCTTGGTTATTCAATATTGAATATTCCGTTGCCTACTAAAAACGACAAAACTATCGCACACGTAATGAAGTAAAGACATATCGATCAGTCGTGGATCAAGATACCATTGAAATTGTTGTTAACGTCAAAATTTTGAGTCAAAATGAGTTTGGACGATCTATGCCTGCATTGCTTCCAGCATCCCCCTTTCTGCTTTCTACTATGGTACGTCGGCGCAATAGCTATTTATTTAGCGTCTGGACCAACTGCAGATGATTGACGAAAACACCGATCAATTACCCTGTAGGTAAGTTTTTCTTTCTTTCAACAGAGAGTAATGAAATTTGTACTTTTCAGATATAATAACTAAATGGCCAGATATTTCCATTCCAAAATACAGTAACCTTCTATGTGCGATATAAAAAATAAAAATTTGTTGTGTACATAATTATGCAATTTTGTCCATATATAGAATTCGAAAGATTTAAACGACCCATTTGCTAAACTCTTTCACAGGAAATGACTTCGGCAGTGCGTTGTGTACTGAAGATGAAGATATCAAATCTTTTCTTTGGAGAGCGGTCTAATATGGCTACTTTCGGGCGGAAACGCACCGACACCCTATTCGTCTTTCGTTTTGTATCATTTATTTTGCTCGTAACACTGGGAGCTTTTAGATTCAAGGGTAACTGGGAGCGCCGTTTTCCATAAGAAAACTGCGCAAGGAAAAGTACTAACTTCATTTATCTACGGGATCTCCTTTAGCTCTTTTAGTCTGCGGTTTACGTAGGTCCCTAAATTTATTTTAGTACTCGTATATATACAGTGTGAAAAGGTGAAATTTCTGTACAAATAAAATACAGCATGTCTGCCTAGCGTTTGTAATTTGTAGGTATTGAGCCAAATTAGAGTTCTAAATGTAAATTTAAGCACATTGTCATTTGAAGGGACATATTTCACTCGACCATAAACCGCTGTCGGGCTCTTTGTCGTCCTCTACAATAAATAACTATTTCATTATCCTATTCGCTGCCGTCGTGATCGTACATAAAGAGATAGCGAAAAGTGGATACGAAACCTAGTTTTATATGTAAATAGAGCAACGTAAAAGCACGTTCATTATTAAATTAATGGCGGGTAGTAGAGATGCTTAATTTAATATCGCTCATATGGATTTTAGGATTGTACGTTGTCAAGATACCTTTTTTTTCCTTGAATGCGAATAGAGTTCGCTGAGTTCATAATCCACTTTTTTTTTTATTTATTATTTATTTTTCTTTGCCTTTATTTTTTAATGATCGGGGTTTCAGCCAGGGCTTTTCTACCAACCCAACCCACTGCACATTTACAAATATCCATGCCCGAACCCGGACACGAACCAGGGACCCAGTACTGTAGTCCAGTTTCAACTGAACTACGCCACACGGACCCTATTGTGCCTACTGTAATACGCTGTGTGTTTATGTAATATGTAAAGACAATATCAGAAATATAACAGAAAGATATACCGGGTGGCTAGTTAGCGTGAATACACAAATAAATACTTAATAAACAATATGAAGGCATTTTCACCTGTAAACATGATTCAGATAACGATACTCAAAACAAAACCATGGAGTACGTATTCCTTCAATAACAAATATTCTATGCAAAATGTAAATAATAACAAATTGTGACATGAAATTCAATGGTTAATAGTTAGTAAAAGGAATAATGAAATTATTACTATACCTGTAAATACACTTTTTAAACACAACAAACATAATAAATGCCATTATACTCGAACTCAGCTCCGCAGTCGAAAATCACGTTCACCACCGCTAACTTTTCCCCCTAGCTTCGGTATCAAAATTCCTTGGTCTTCAGCATCTGCGCAGAACAGTCGAAATCGAAAGCAAAATTTATGTATAGAGAGCGTATCACATTTTTGTTTCAGATGTAAAGGTGTGTTGCCTAACCGTAGGGGTAAGTTACCACAGTGTGTAATGAGCCGTCGAACCCCAGCCACATTTTCAACTAAACCTCTCATCTCGCTGCGCACCTTGTAGATTTCGGACGTCGAAAAGGCTCGAAAGAGGTCCACACGATCTTTAAATAGGGCCATGCGAACCAAACTCCCTGCGAATATCTCAAGATAGCTCAGGCCAGGTTCGAGTTACATAGTATACAGTTCAATGCAGAAAAAAAATACTAACGAAATTCAAACCACCAATATAATAATGCAAAAAATACTAGAACCTTAACTTACGCGCGAAATTCAAACAAGCATCGCTTCTCAAAAATCACCGGGAATCATGACATTTTTGTTTTGAACAGAATGTTTGGTAAAAAAGATCCGTACTTGCAAATCTCTTTTTGATTCCTTCGAATATACATCAAAAAGGCAAATGCCTAATGTATAATAATCCTTTAATTCCCTGGTATGTTATGCAATAAACAAACAAGGTATGTATTGATAAACATTAATAGAAAAATGTCAATAGACAATGCGCGTTCATTAGACTGCTCTGCTTTAATTGTTTTACATACTCCGTTTAGAAATAGAAGGAAGTGAGTTTAGAGCGCAGGAAGTTGCATGACCTTGTCATTACTTTTAGATCACTTTTATAAACACTCATGGTATTGTAAACACTTCAACTTTTTTAATACACATGTCTTTCATAGTCTAAGGGCCGGTATTATAAAGCCCGCTTGAACGGAGATTGGCGTTCAATCGTAGTTTGAGTGCGATTGCGTGTAACATAAACGCCGTTTAAGTCGTAACCAGAGCTCAATCTCCGATTGAAGTCAGCCCGCCAATTTTCTCGGATTTTGGCGTCCAAACGGAGATTAGGCGCGCGCACGTGTAAAAAACTGTAACCAGTTTATTTTGTTTTGTCATTTAATATTTATAACGAAATGGAAATAATTGAAATTGGACGTGCAAGAGATCGGTTACTGTGGGCAGTAAGCGACGATGACTCTTCATCAGAGGATGAGTTCATTAGAAGAAGAGCAGAAATTTTAGAGAAGGTGTTGAACATTTCGGCAAGTGATATGAAGAGGAATTTTGGCAGAGATTTCGGTTATCCAAGGATACTGTTAGATCCCCATAAAACAGGATTCAAGCACTAAATTGCTCGCTAAATTGTCCCCCAAACAAACAAGTAGGTTTGTGCTTTTCTATGGAAATTCTATTATTTTTGCGAATTTACGCAACTGGGTGTGTTAATTAATTAATAATAGCCCATCAATGGTGAGGCTGTCGTCACCAGCTCTAGCTTCATTACCAGTAAGGTTTTTCACTGTGCTAGATCATATTTTGTCTTCAGTTACTCAAATGTGGCTCAGTCAATGCAGCGTTGTACTTCTCTGCAATTTTCTTCCATGCGAGGGTGTATAAACACAGAATGATTAGGGATATAGATGCAAACAAAAAACTCACAACTGATGACATCCTGATGCTTTACCTTGTTCTTGGTAGTAGAGGCCTCCGCCCGTTTATTTTCAATTATATGTAAATATGACTTGTCTTGGCACAGTGGCAGGCAAATATGCAGCGGCGTAGCGATGGGAGTGCGGGGGGTGCGGCCCGCACCGGGCGGCATGTCTTCAAAGGCGGCAAAAACAAACTCAACAATTCTAAAATTGCCGCCCCTGTCTGAAACGCGACTGCGCAATGCGCAAAAACAATTTGCATTTGCAGCCATCGAGTATTATTTCATTTCACATTTCAGTACAGCGTACAGCATCGAATCTGGTACTGGAGCGCGCATCAGTTTAAATCTTTTAGTTGAACGTTACGCTTACGACGGTACCCAGGTAGAAATAAACGTCGGTCTGCTTGGGTATATATAGAGCTCTAGTTGTACCTGGGTACCGAAACGTGCTTGCTTACATGTTTTGAATTTTGTGCGGTTTAAAAATCGACTCGGTTCAAAATGAAGCGTCACAGAGAAAGTGGAGCGGCGTATAAACGAAGACGAGAAGAAAAAGAGAAAGAAGCAGCTAAATCACGGGATTCGCTGTTGAAATACTTCAATCCTAATCCTAACAGTTCGCAGTCTTCTAGTCAAAGTGTTGAAGTCAATCCGACAGAACTTAGTCCACAACAAGTCATTCAAGACATTCCTGAAGTTGCCGATGTGATACCACAAGCTAGTCCTGAAGAATGCAGTAACGAAGAGAATTCAGAAGAAGAAAGTGCAAACGCTATAAGATCTGAAATCTCGGCTTTGAACGAACTTACTTGTAGCTCAGAATCCCAAGATTTTATCGAAGTTCGCAATTCAGAGGTACTTCAGAAAGTCAATGTCGACGTGGCGGTGGCGGAAACCAGCACTCAGAGCAACGAAATTCCAAACGATGCGGGACTGTGGCCAGAACTAATTTCAGACGAACTGCGCGTGTACTTGGTGAAACAAGGTCCGGATCAAGTGCGCCATATGAACGCAAAATTTGCTTCTCAAACAAGACCAGCATCAGAGAAAAGTAAAGGCCTTGTCAGAAATTTGACAAAAAATTGGTTCTACAAAGTTCTAGAGAACAATCAAAAAACTTTGCGAACCTGGATGCTATATTCACCTGCTAAGGGATCGCTAGTCTGTTTCTGTTGCAGATTGTTTGATAGAAATTCTTCCCAGTCTTCAAGTTTCAGTAAATCTGACGGTTTCAAAAATTGGTTGAAACTAAGCCCAAAAGTTGACGAACATGAAGCAAGTGCCTTGCATTGCAGTACCTTTTTTCAGTGGAAGACTTTGGAAATTGGGCTGATGTCAGGAAAAACTATTGATTTCCAACATCAAGAGTCAGTTTTACGAGAAGAAAAGAAGTGGCGTGACATTCTGAAACGCATACTAGACGTCATCTTGTTTTTGGCGCGACAAAATCTTTCCCTGAGAGGTCACAGAGAAAGTTACAAAGATTCGTGTGTGGAAAACCACGGAAACTTTCTCGAACTTATACACTTCTTATCCAACTATGATTCAGTTCTAGCAGAACATCTAACTCGAGTTAAGCTGTCCAACAAACTTACGCCAACGTACTTATCTCCCGAAATTCAAAACGAGTTTATTAATTTGCTTGGAGACCATGTTCGACGTCGAATAATTAGTGATGTGAATGATGCCAAGTACTTTTCAATTATATTCGATAGTACACCGGACATTTCTCACAAGGACCAAACCAGCCAAGTCATTCGCTACGTCAAGATCAGCGGAACAGAAGTCGAAGTTGTGGAGTCCTTCATTGATTTTATTGAAACGCATGGAAAAACTGCTGAACAAATTTCATCGATGATCTTAAAGAAATTGGAAACTGACGGTTTAGATATTCAGAACTGCCGTGGCCAAGCTTACGATAACGCTGCTACAATGGCCGGTATTCGCAACGGAGTACAATCTAAAATCCGGGAGATTAATCCTAAAGCAACGTTCATTCCTTGCTCGAACCACAGTTTGAATCTTGCTGGCGTTCATGCAGCATCTGTTTCGGCAAGTTCCGTTACTTTTTTCGGAACACTAGAACGTATATTTGTATATTTTTCGTCATCGACACAGCGTTGGGATGCTTTACTTCAAGTGACAAAACAAGGTGTAAAGAGGCTCGTTGACACACGCTGGAGTTCTCGACACGACGCTGTTGCAGTGATAAAAAATCATTTTGAAGAAATTCTGGAGGTACTGGAAAAGTTGAACGAAAACCACAATGAAAACGCCAAGACTCGTTCAGATGCTGGAATATTGCTTTGCTCCCTTCGAACTTTTTCGTTTCTCGGGTATCTCAGCCTTTGGAGTACTGTTCTTTCAGAAATAAATGATACTCAAAAATACTTGCAAAGACAAGGTCTAAACGTTAAAAATTGTGCTGAAAAAGTTGCAGCTTTAAAAATTTACTTAGAGACAAACAGGGAGAAAATCGTTACCAAAGCCGCCGAATATGCAACCTTGATGTGTGAAAAGTTCGATATAAGCGTTACTTCTAAACGTACAAAAAAGAGAAAGCAGATTCACGGAGACGGATCCGAGGGCGTTTCGCTCACCCCAGCACAAGAGCTTAGTCGAGAAATGTACGGAGCTGTTGATAGAATTATTGAAGAAATAACGACTCGATTTCAGCAGTTGGACGAAATTCGACAAAAGTACAGCTTTCTTTTTCCGGAATCGCTGCTGGACCCGCAGAAAGAAGACAATTTTGATTTTGAGCTTCCCGATGATGTGAACAGGGAAGACTTCAATGTAGAGCGTGACCGCCTTCGAAATTTTTGCAACGCTGCTAATCACAAAGTTGAAACGTTTTCAAGTGATCCTTTAAGTCTTTTGAAGTTTATCCAACGTTATCAACTTGAAATTTCCGTGCCGAACATTGTTATCATGCTGAAAATTTTCCTGTCTTTTGCTGTTAGTGTTGCATCGTGTGAAAGGAGTTTTTCTAAGCTGAAGCTTATTAAAAATTACCTTCGTTCGCAAATGTCTTCTTTGCGCTTGCGAAATTTAGCGATTTTGTCAATTGAAAGAAAGTTGACAAATGAAATTGACTTTGACGACCTTATTAAGGAATTCGCAGCAAGAAAAGCCAGAAGAATTAATATTTAGTTTTAAACGTTAACGTTTGTAATTATGATGACTTGTACTGGTACGTAATACTCTAAAGTTTGTTTCTTGAAATAAATAAATATTTATTTCTGACATATTATTTCCGTGCACTATTAATAATTAAATTGTAATGTTACGTAATATAACCTTAAGACAAAATTCCAAGAAATCCTTGAGACGAGGGGCGGCAAAATCTTACTTCCGCACCGGGTCAAAATCACTGACGCTACGCCGCTGCAAATATGACTGAACGCAGTCCGCTTGCTGATGGGCGTACGCGTCCGTCAATTTCCCTTGTCTATCATTGGCACAGTGGCAGGCAAAACAGCGCTATGTAAAACGATTTAGCACGGGGATGAACAGATCAGCACAGTTACAGTGACAGGGGCAAATGGCACAGAAGCGAAAAGAACGAACGGCGCGGGCGTGATGGGTGCGAAGAACGTAAATGTCATCAGCTGTCACTGTCAGCTGACGCATCGGCCACTGAAAATTCTGCGCCCTGACGGTTCGCCCGCAGTGTTACCATCCTAGGGATCGTAAGCTCAAATGAGCTCAAACGGAGATTAACCAAGCGCTCTTCCCAAGGTGTTTATAATACGCAACCGCTTTCAATCTTGGTTTGACGTTCAATCGCCGTTTGATTAATCTCCGCTTGAACTGTACTTTTATAATACCGGCCCTAAGACACATGTTAAGAAAATGGTTATAACTAGATAATTCAGTTTATGAAACAAGGTTTTTGTCAAGATTTTCTGAACTCCAAAAAATACCGTGGCAGAGGTCAACAGGGCAGTATTGACAATGAATTGAAAAACTCAAAATAGGTATTAAACAAATATCACTTTTGTGTATAAGCATTCTCCATCATACGAATAGGAACTTTTCTGACTTTAATGCTACCACCACAAAATCAGAAGGTTTATATAAATATTCTCGTGAAACACACTAAGCTAAATCAATTGAATAAACATGTTTATTCAATGAATGGAAAAACGAGCCCTATTCAAACTGTATTTGAATTGAGTTTGTTCTTTTAAAATTTATGTTTAACGCAAATTTTAAATCTGCCGCCAGTGTTTGTTAAGCTTTGGCCACTACGAGTAAATTGGCCATCAAAATTGATTGTCAAACTAAGAAAAATTATTAATTCATATTTATTGCATTTTTTAAGCAATAAAAAATCTAATTTGATTTTACAATTTTCTAAAAAATGCCGAAATTAATATAATAATTTCGAAAGATACTAATTTGAGTAATCACATGGGCTGTCATATGAATGCCAAATTTTAAGCTTTCTGATTGGCCAGATTCATTAATACATTTTGCAGCGACCAGCTGATAGGCGTTGTCGAATCTTCTCCGGTATTCACAACTTAAATAATCGCTTAAGTTTTATTAGGCACGAATTCTTGAACGGTCTTTAACAAATAAAGTGAGCAACAATGGCTTTAAGCGATGCGGATGTCCAGAAACAGGTAATAATTTTCTGCCGATTCGAAGGACTGTTTTTAGTAATGTCGATGTTTCAGATTAAGCATATGATGGCTTTCATTGAGCAAGAAGCCAACGAAAAGGCCGAAGAGATTGATGCGAAAGCCGAAGAGGAATTTAACATCGAGAAGGGTCGGCTCGTTCAGCAGCAGCGCCTTAAGATCATGGAGTACTACGAGAAGAAGGAGAAGCAAGTTGAATTGCAGAAGAAAATGTAAGCGTATTTTACTTGTGCCGGTCAGTTTGTACGAGTTTTGTTGCAGTCAATCGTCGAATATGTTAAATCAGGCCAGGCTAAAGGTGTTGAAAGTTCGCGAGGACCATGTTAGGAACGTTTTAGATGAGGCTCATAAACGTTTAGGAGAAGTGACACACAACAGTTCTCGATACACGGAAGTACTAACAACCTTGATTCTTCAAGCATTATACCAGGTAGAATCTTATGTAACCCATTCACCTACTGTATAGACACTGTATTGTAGCTTTTCGAAACGAATGTAGTCTTAAGAGTACGCTCTCAAGATCAGGGAATTGTTGAAGCTTTAATACCGAATGTTGCTTCTAAGTACAAGGAGGCTGTTGGAAAAGACATTCATTTGAAGGTTGACACTGAAAACTATTTATCCTCCGATACAACAGGAGGCGTCGAGCTTTTAGCTCAACAAGGAAAGATCAAAATAAATAACACTCTGGAAGCTCGTTTGGAACTAATCTCTGCCCAGTTGGTACCACAGATACGTACCGCTTTGTTCGGACGAAATGTCAACCGTAAATTCACAGATTAAACTAATTTGTGTTTAATTGTTAATTCATTTTTCAATGTTTATATCTAGTAGCATTCCACAAAATTGTTCAAGCTTGTAAATAGTATTATTTGCTTCAGTTTATTGGTAGAGTATAGTAGAATGTTTTGAGATAGTGTTGTCCTTTAGGTATATGTAAATAAATTGTCAACACTATTAATTTATGTTGGTTGATGATGTTTATCAGTGTTACAAAATTAAATTAATGTTAACTTTTCTGTTGTAAGTTTTATAGCGTAAGTAAAGGGCCAGTCTAATATTTCATATTTCAGTTATACTTATATGATAAGTAACCACCTATCTGAATACATTTGTTACCATGAAAGATAACTGCCAGATAAGTTTAACGGTAAGATGATCCTAAGTCTGTTTTTCATCTTACAGTTACACTTATCTCGCATGCCTATTCACATTGAAGGTATCTATCAGATAAATTTAACAGAACAGTGGACAACTGGCCCTTAGTAGAAGATAGTGCTTTAACATTAGATAAAGTAAAGACAATGGAATGCACAATCTAATATTTGGTATTAGCAGTTATTTGTAAAATTTACTACAGAATTATGGAATACTAGGCCCTCCACAAATGATCTGAGGTACAATGAAAGTGTTGTAATTTATCATCATAAAACTTCAAATGTGGATAAAATATGAATCAAATCAGGATGTAAATCATAGTTTTGTCATGGCAATAATTTAGGAAAAAACCTACTACTTCTTGATTAAATCAATCAAAAATTATTAACTACTTTATAGCTTCTATTCTGTATGTGTATAAGTGATGCAGAGAAATAAACCACCTCTTGTAAGTTTCCTGCATGGTTTCTCCACTCTTGATAAAACGATTTTTTACCAGATGTTTACAAATGTCCCTTTATAGTCTACTATAATAATAAGTATTAGTATGCATAATACTATTATAATGGTCCTTTAATACACATTGATCTGCCACTAAACTAAAAGTGGAAGAAGAATGGGAAGTATTGATTATTAATAAGTATTTATTTATTTGCAAAATGTACATAATAAAATAAGCACAGGAAGCAACATAACGTCAAATACGGTAAAAGTAGCGAGGTTTCAGGAAAAATGTCCAACTGAAAAGCCTCTGGCCAGAAAATAGTTATTTACCTATTATACAGGCAATAAAGAGATGTTTTACCGTCAAGTGAAAGATGTTAGTTCACCTCGTGAATTAACTTTGACAAGATGGATAGTTTCCCTTTATCTTCTTGTATAATACAATACTTTATTTCATAGCAGAAACCATACAAATCTTTATAAAACTGTTCTTCCGTCGTTTCCATGGAAACAGTTATCTGTTCTGAACTGCATTTTATTTCATGCTCCACAACACATTTTTAATAAGAAATTGACAGAAATCTTTAGAATACATAATCATTTATTCACTTTATCACAGATAAAGTACCCGTATCTGTGCAGGTGGTCACTTTGCCGATTCAAAAATTTAGTTTTGAGTTTGTATTTTGTTAAACATATGAAAATTTACGCATACTGCGCTTCATAGCGAACGTGAACAAAAGTATGTCTGGCATTATGAACGATAACGAGGTGTATTGCGACATTCGATACGACGCAAGGAGTTTGAGTAGATAAACGTTAGTTTGATCGGATTGTAAGGGCGTTTTCGACCAACGAGGTTAGACTTTTAAAAAGTTAGCACCTATACTATAATGTTCTGTATTAAGGACTTTATTTTCGCATAATTGCGACTATCCTAAACGAGCACGTACCAATTTGGATACGCTAATTATTATTATTCTTGCTTTATGCCGCGTAAATACAAAGGGTTTTCGTTTAACTTCAAGGGCGATCACGTTTAAATTTCGGTGTGTGAAAAAATTGGTTCGCGGTCGATACTTGCCGTTGCGAGAAATACCCTACTTATTATGTTTGAAAATTTGCGGTTCCAAGAACCAAAACGTTCATTTATTGTTATAGTTAGTAGATAGCACTTTAACTTCGGGTTGAAACATAGTAGTGAGAAATCCCAAATTTAAGCGAATATATGTGGGCGAATAGAGAAACTATGTCAATAGTACGGGAGGAGGAAAAACTTTTTAGCAGCCTGATTCGTATAACAAGGCTGTTTATTTAGAGGTGGTAAAATATACGCGAAGGAACGTTTTCGAGTTGGAGAAACGCAGTTCAAATAAAAAACCGGACTATAAATAAAGTGACATTAGAACTCATTGTGATAAACAATGAATTCGGCTAGTTACTCAAAGTTGAGTAACGTCATATTGGACAGCGGCGCCTTGTGCGATATATAAAATTTTGTATACAACGGCATATACGGCAAGGAATTTAAAGACAATTAATTGATGCATTTATCTGCAACAAAACTTGGTTAATAATAAATTGGACATAATTAATATCAACACAGCGGAACATTTGTTTATTGTTCCTGTCCATAATCACGATTATAGAGTATTACTGTCGCTAGATTGAAGCCGTTTGCTGGATTTTGAATTTCAGGTTTTAAGAGGCGATAAAGGGCCAAACTTCCGCAAGGTAAGGGATATAAAATACGTTTATTACTGAGTCTATATGGAACATTCTGTGTATAATAAATATATTGAAGGTGTAGAGAAGGAAACACAAAACCTTATGTTTTACTCGTAGCACACACCAGAATGGAAGTCATAGTGTAGTATGACCGCTTAAACTACTTTTCACGTATTTTTAGCAAATGTGCCATTTCTCATGTTTTATTTCGTCCAGCCGCGTAAGGGATCTTGGCATTGAAAAGTTGCAGACACAATTTGTCCAATCTGCTTCCTAATTGAACATCATCGATTTCATGTGAAATGGCAAATACATTGTTTATTTAGTGGTAGATCAAAATATTCATTTATCACCAATTTCTACTAATATACAGGGTGTTCTATTTAAAAAAAACTGTGTAAGCAGAAAATAATTAGAAGTTCTATATTTATATAATTCGTTCACAACAACAATCATTTATGTGGCGTCCTTTCCGCAGACTGCCACATAATAGGAAACGCAAACGAACATTAATATATTTGCTGAAAACATCAATCAGAAGGAGAAATATTTTGTGCAGCGGCGACAAGTGTATCGTGTATTTCCTTCGTGAACGCTATTTGAGAATTAACTGTACTCAAAAACTGAGGGTACGTTAACGTATTGTCTGGGATGCCCAAGTTTTCATTTCTAGTAGGTGCTACGGGTAACTGCAAATAGCGATTTCCACTTTCACCTTGACTTAAACACTTAATAGATGTTTTCTAAAATTGTTCGACAGTTGTATTTAAAGAATGCGAGACAGACCTACCAAATGCAATTCCACTTGATCGCAAATTGAATAAAACTCTTCTAGGCATTTATCGAAACGAGGTATTTGGACGTCCACTCCTTTCCTAAAAGATAACATTTCAAAATTAAAATCACCAAGTAGGATGCTTACAGTGATCCTACGTCCACTTGGCTGTTTTGATTTAAAGTTTGAGCTGCCGTTTTAATAGTGTTCTAAAGCATGTGTAAGTGAACAGTTTGCGAGTAGGTATACTTTACCGAAAGTGATTCCCTTAAAGGTCCTATTAATGTTTTTATTTTTGATATATTGTCTAATGGTTGGGGTGGCTGCTGTTGCTGTTGTTGAGGATTTTGTGGAGGAAGTCCAATTCCTGGCACATTCATTTTTGTTCAAACCTACGAGTACGTAGTTCAAACCAAAGGTTCAAAAGTTTATTGTAATTTCTAACCTCAAAAGCCAATCACAGAAATACAACAAAGTTCAGTGATGCCAATGCCCCAATCATAACATTACTATGCAACCCTGTAAAAAGTTGGATAAAAATCGGTGTTGTCACTAATTATATGGTACAGTGGGCGGCAATCACAGAGTTTTATCTTTGTGGCGGCAATGCAAACATTGGGGATTGGGGAATTTCATCCCAATCATTTACATATTCTTCAGATGCTTTAGATTCTTCGAACTTCGGATGTTCAAACGTTTATTCCGATGTTGTAATTTTTTACTATTCAAATCCATTATAGCATCATGCTTCATTTTTAATTTATTCGATTCTTCGGAGTTTTCAATCAAAATTATTCGAATCCTACGATTTCTTTTGATTCTTCAAATTATTCATATTTTTTTCAGTTTTTCAAGTTCATGTTCCATATGAGGTCAAAGATTATACTAGATTTTTCATGAGGTTAAAGATGATGGAGCATTGTAATTGAACAATCTGGTGCACTGCAAGTAGGCAATTCGGTATATTGATACCATAATGAGATCCACATCAAGCCATATTGTTCATTATCTCGGAGTTTGAATTCGGTTTGGTATATATAAATGGGAACTCCTCAGGTTATGGATATTACATTTTATAGGAAAACCTTTGTCATGAAGTCACTGCGACTTTACAATAATTAAATGTAGGAAGAAGGCAGGACCCAAACAACTGACTCCATTGTTGCGTACTGAACGATAATAATGCGCCTCATGAAAGAGAATGTGCGCTTCTTTTCTTCTATTACCTATATTGCATGTAAAGGGTACACACAATATAATCATCAGCTACCCAGTATTAGATTAAACAAGTAAAAAGGTTTTCGCCCTAAGGCGGGTAACTTCAGCGCATTTTCCATAAATTGATCAATACTTTCCCAAAGGCCATACCTATGGGCTCTATGTTTTTCATTACTAGAGGCATATATAGTTAAAATTTTAAAGAAATATCTTCATAAATAAGGAAGTTGACACTTACTGCGCAGTTGATATTGCGCGTCCTGCGCATGCGCTTATTAATCTGATATTTACAATATGCAATACGTTTGCTCTTACTGTAAGCATCTATGGTTAAAATTTCAAAGAAATATTGGCATTGCGCAGCCTGCGTATGCGCACATCTGATTTTTACTATATGCGATATATTTGTCTTTACTACAAGTATTTGTAGTTAAAATTTCAACAAAATATATTAATAAATAAAAAAGTTGGAAAATACACTAAAAAACTACTCATCAGTTGTTTTTAAAACTTCAATACAAATAAATTGACATTTTTCTTCTGATTACAACTCGTATTTTATTTATACATCTACTCTAGTGGCAATCGGCTATTGCTTCATCTCCTCCAACATTAGAAGTTTATTTAAAAATAGTGGCTGATTAGAAAAAAAATTATGAGAATGTACTGTATCGGGGGTTTATTCGAAAACGGGATGATTCTGGCGGACTCTGAGACGAAATAAGCCCCACCAATCAGCTACTAGAACCATTATCAGTTGACATCACGACTTGGCCGCTTTCGCGTGGGAGTTTAGGCCTCGTCCAAGCTGTTACCGGCTCAATTCTACGTGTTGGTTGTAGGTTTGTGAAGTTTTTAGACTGAGGCGGTTCAAATTCGGCCTAAATTTAATAATTTACTTGGCTTTATTTTACTCGCAAATAAAAATTGTAGACCTCTCAGATCCCTGGTAGAAGCGAGTTCAAATTCACCAAACTTATTTTCCATCTTAAACCTTACTTTTGTTTTATTTAGGAGAGTTGTGAAAAATTAGATCGGGATTTCTTCTGGGGGTTGACGCAACAGAGTACTCTTGACATTGTTTATTTTAAAATCATTATAAAAACTTTAACTACACGTTTCAAAAATATGACTCTTAAGTTCTTTTTATTGCCGCTAGAGGTCTCATCCTTACTTGGAATGGCGAATAAGCGCCTTGTTGCACACGTTGCATTCTACTTTTTAGTAGTATACGCAAATTTTTCTTATTTTCCATTTCCTTATTATACTTCTTTAAATTTGGTGGTCGCCTTAAATCTGATCTAAATGAACACTAATTATTTCTCATGTTACCCTGTACATAAAAACTTGTCGACCTTGACAAGAAATCCCTGACGTTTGAATTTTCAAATTAACGGTTTTATTTAACCCACCAAAACGGCCACAAATTGACAAATCTGTTTGTGTTGATAAGTGTATCGCCTTTGCAGTCATATTTGGCTTTATTTCGTTATGATAAATCCAGTGTTCTCGGGATATAATTTACATGACAGTTCTGTTATCTCTTTTTTTTGCTTATAAAATGTGAGTGGCCATTTGGTTTTATGTTGAGACTACACTTGCAAAACAACTTCAAAATGGTGAAAAACAAGCGAGATCTAAAATCACCCGGACGAAATCGATCGCTTCTTGGTACTCGACCTCGTTCAAGGCAAAGCATCACAGGAAAATCGGCTGCGGGAGGTAACATTCGGGTGGTAATTCGAGTGAGACCTTTTAGTGAACGTGAAAACTGCAGCAATCACAAGTGAGTTACGACTCTTTTTTTTTATTAATTTGACTTCGTTTTGCTTTTAGAAATGTCATTAAAATTGTGGACGAGCATGCACTCGTCTTTGATCCGAAAGAAGACGAAGAACCTTTCTTTTATCATGGCGTACAGCAACGCAATCGAGACATCATGAAACGGGCAAATAAGCATTTGAATTTCACATTTGACCACGTATTCGGAGACTCCACAAATAATGAAGACGTTTTTGAAGTCAGTACAAAAACGTTAATAGGCAATTTAATGAAAGGTTACAACTGCTCTGTCTTTGTGTACGGTGCGACCGGTGCCGGTAAAACACATACCATGTTGGGATGTAACACGGATCCTGGCATAACATTTTTGACCATGTTGGAGTTATTTAAGCAAAAGGAGGAATTACACGAAGAGCGAGAGTTTGAGATTGGTATGACGTACCTGGAAGTGTATAATGAAACCGTTCAAGATTTACTAAACCCCGGCCCTGCCCTTTCGTTACGTGAAGATAATAAGTACGGCGTCGTGGTCGCCGGAATTAAAATGCACCGAATCGAGGCATCCGACACTCTCTTTGAGCTACTAGAACAGGGCAATCGGAACCGCACGCAGCATCCGACAGATGCCAACGCCGAGAGCTCTCGCTCGCATGCAGTGTTTCAAGTCTACGTCAAAATGAAATTTAAGACAACGGGCGAAGTGCGTGTCGCAAAACTCAGTATGATAGATCTGGCAGGAAGCGAGAGGGGAGCGGCGACCGGTTACTCGGGCGCACGTTTCACCGAAGGGGCGAATATAAACAAGTCTCTACTGGCGTTAGGAAATTGTATTAATAGTCTCGCCGACGGGCACAGGCACGTTCCTTATCGAGATTCGAAGCTAACTAGGTTACTCAAGGATTCGCTCGGCGGAAACTGTCAAACCGTAATGATCGCGAATATCTCGCCCAGTTCGCACAACTACGAAGATACGTATAATACATTGAAGTACGCGATGAGGGCGAAAAAGATTAAGTCGACAATTAAGAAGAACGTCGTGAACTGCGAGTCAAATCTCAATCACTACATACAGCTGGTCGAGCAGTTGAATAAAGAGATTAAGGAATTGAAAGTAAAGGTGAGTTGCCTTTCGATTTGGCTCTTTTCTTGACAATTTTGAATGTTCTTTGTCTTTTGCCATTCTTGCTCTTGTTTATTCCTCTAACACAGTTTTTATTTTTTTTTATACCTAAAATCTGTTCCTAAAAAACTGTAGTGATTTAAAAATACTTCTACGCCACTGATTACCATGTGATAATGCAATTTTTTTTATATTTTTATAGTAAGTAATCAATATATCGTAGGCTGTAGCTACCTGTTCCCCATATTCCAGAGATGGCAAACCCGGGCTCTTAAGGGTTGAAATGATCTGTTTCCCTTTATCGTCGTGTAGTACAAAACTTTATTTTATAACAGAAATCAGTATAAAAGTTCAGAAAATTCTGAAGTTAATTTAAACGTAAAAAAAAGCAACCCTATCTCCCGTCATTTCCATGGAAACAATATTGTTTTCTCTTCCGAACTTCATTTTACTTCAGGCTACGCGTCCCATTTTGTAATAAAAATGACATGTACTTGGAATGTACCGGGTGACCCTTTAAGAATGCTCCTTGGCCATTCTGGGGAACCGTTCGTTGTATAACTTAGGGGTAAAAAATTATTGGATAAATCGGTTATGAAGAATCGCTGGAAAATATTTTCAAGTTCTAAAAATGACCACCAGAGGGCGTAACTGCTATCTTAAATTTTAAAATTGCATTTTCTTTCAATTTCTCATAATTAACCGCGTAATTAACTAAACACTCTTTTTTCACATTTTTAAAGAGAACCAGTTTATCTATTCGATTTTCGTAAAAATAAAAACTTAGTGATTTCAAAAACAAAGATGGTGTGGGGCGTTCAATTGTTTTTGCAATAACCTGCTTGAACTTCGTAACCGTATGACCGATTGTAACAAATTTGGTATCGTTGAAAAGAGCATTCCTTGGGAAATAAGAATTAACGAAATATAGTTAATTTAGTTGAATCCTTCTCCGCCAGGGGGCTAGTTTTGACAGTATGACCCAAAATCCTAAAAAAATCAAATGGAATGATATGACTTTTTCTTTATGAAAAAGTAGCCAAATAACATCCAAAGAGGCCAGTGAAAACCGTTTTTCAAAATCTCGTTCCTAACCTCAAATATTGGGAAAATAAGATTAATTAATTAATTAAAATGATTAAATTGTATCTTAAATTTACTTTTGACGTATTTCCGGTATTGTCGATGGCGCGAAAGATTGTTTGGAAAAGCACCCTACACTTTTAGGTAGGCCTTGGAAAATTAAACAAATGAAACATGATTCATTATGAAATAATAACAGCCGTAATTTGTAAGTTATTCTGTTGTGTTTACATTCAGAAAGTGCAGTTTTTTGAATATGTAATCTTTTCTAAAATGCGTATTTCAAACCAAGAAGCATGTAATATGCAAAAACAATTGAACGCCCCACACCATCTTTGTTTTTAAAATAACTGACTTTTTGTTTTTACGAAAATGACTCGGAAAATGATAAACTGGTTCTCTTTAAAAATGTGAAAAAAGAATGTTTAGTCTATTATGCGCAATTGAAAGAAAATGCAATTTTAAAATTAAAGATGGCAGTTACACCCTCTGGTGGTCATTTTTAGAAATTGAAAATATTTTCTAGCGATTCTTCATAACCGATTTACCCAATAATTTTTTTACCTCATATGACGAACGGTTTCCAAGATAATGGTCTATTTATTAAATGTTTATTTCCATTTTTTTTTTTGTATCTTTTTTGTACAGTGCTAATTTGACTATGTTGCATTAGAACTTTTGTAGAGATTTTAACAAGCTGTCATATGGTATAGTAGATGTGTACAGGGTGTTCCATATAAAAAAGTCGCATTTTTGTTATCTGAAAAATGCGATGTTGTTTTGTTATTTTACTTACAAATTTGTATTCAGTAGAAAACAATACACAATTATGATAATTTAACTGTCTTTCTAACTTTACAACTAAGAAAGTTTAGCAACAACTACTCCGCATGCAGGCGGTCGACAAATAAAATAAGAAATCTTAAAATTACTGACCTTTTTTTTAAATCATCCCATTAATCTGTTCGTACAAGGTTTGCGATATTCAGGTGCACTTAACTCACACACAAACGTTGACCGCTTCTGAACTTCACTTTGCTTTATAAAACAGAATTAAATGACAAACGAGACTGTCTTTATTGGTACTGTAACGTAAATCTAATGACGTGATTTATTTATTTACAGTGAATTAATAAAAGTCTTGAAATGAATTGATTTATAACACTTAAAATATTATTTATCACTCACATATACACAATTTATAACAGCGCGAACTATTTATTACTTAGGCTTTGAAATTGGAACTGTCTGAAACGCAATTCAATTTGCTTATATGTTATTTTTCGAAAGTTTTCGATACAATGTTCTTCAACCAACTAATAAAGTGGCGGCCTGTCGCTTCTGCGCCCAGCGTGCTATGGAAATTCTGATAACAGATTCAGATTCCCCCAAAAAAAGTGCCCATAGAATGGCCCGTATGAATAAAAGTAAGCAAATGCTTATACTTGCAAAATTCAAAGTAAATACTCGGAAGTGCTCCTTCCCACTGGGCGACTTAGCAGCGCT